TTTTTTGGTCATTTTTTGTTTATAACTTTGCTTTACATTTTTGTATACAACTTTAGTTTTTATTTGTTTTTTCCCATGTTTTTACTTTGTTTATTATATATATATATATATATATATATATATATATATATATATATATATATATATATATATATATATATATATATATATAAATATCTATATAGGATATAGATCCGGTAAGAAATTTTTTTTGGTAGGAAGGTAAGAAGTTTTTTTTCTACATATTTTTTTGACGAATAAAATAAATGAATCACTAGATGATTCATTTGTAAGATGATTTACAAGAAAAAATTCCGAAAAAAACATATTTATGATTCATTTTTAAGTAAATTAAGAAAAAATTCAGTTTTATGACAATTTTAGTGAATAACAACAAAATCATTGTATAAATGAATCATCGAGATGTTTTTTTGAGATTTTTTTCTTGTGAATCATCTTACAAATGAATCATCTAATGATTCATTTTGTTTGTTCGCGAAAAAAATATGTAGAAAAAAAAAATTATTACCTTCCTACCAAAAATTTCCTTCTTATTTGATCTTGATTCTATATATATATATATATATATATTATATATATATATATATATATATATATATATATATATATATATATATATATATATATATATATATATATATATATATATATATCCATTCATTTGAGATATTTCGTCTCTTTTAGGGTTAAAGTTAAAATTAGTTTTTAAGTTCCCATCAAAATATTTTTTGGTCATTTTTTGTTTATAATTTTGCTTTACATTTTTGTTTATAACTTTTAGTTTTTATTTGTTTTTTCCCATGTTTTTACTTTGTTTATTATTATTATTATTATTATTATTATTATTATTATTATTATTATTATTATTATATATATATATATATATATATATATATATATATATATATATATATAAAGTAAACAAAGTAAAAACATGGGAAAAAACAAATAAAAACTAAAGTTGTAGACAAAAATGTAAAGCAAAATTAGACCAAAAAAATATTTTGATGGGAACTTATAAACTAATTTTAACTTTAACCCTAAAAAAAGACGAAATATCTCAAGTGAATGATGGGTTAACACTGCATCACACTCTTTAAAGGTAAGTTAACCTTGTTGTCCTTTTGTCTTTATATGTTCACAAGAAAGGTGTCTTGCCCCCTTTGGCTTTTCTTGCACTGTTGCACAACCAAACAAAACCATATGTTTGGGAGCACTTGTCACTTGAGCTTTCTTTCAATCCTCTTGCGCTTCCCTTATTACCACAAATACTAAACATAAACAAAAGAAAGTCTAATGACCTTTTGTCATTTGACATTGTAAGGACTTGTTTGGAATTGTGCGTTGGTTAGAGAATAATAAGGAAAGGACTTTTGGCTGTCTCCTCGATTTCCTATCCTTCTTGAATCGTGACAAAAACATGTGCATAAAGCTTATCTCTTTGCTTCTAGCAATGGAAATGTTACCAACAATGTGTGTAATTTTTATACAAAATAATGCATGTCGATGCAAAATTCAGTTGATATTTAGATGTATGAAATATCAAATGGATTTTAAATTTTTTGCTTTTAAGAATAGTAACCAAATTTGAAGAATATGTACAAATTAATGCAAGTAAAAGTAAGTTTAAATTTGGATACAAGATTACTAAAACTAATTCTTTAACCTTACTACCTTACTACTTTAGTCTAATGAATATTAGAATTTCTCAAGCGAGTTTAAGTAATAGCATATTTTACTACCAATACAATAAAATTAAGAGATGAATGACGGAATATACACAATTCAGTGTTTCACAAATGTTGGATATAAATGAACCTAAATACAATTTCTTTAAAGTGGACTCACATATTATTTATATAAATATTAATTGAGAGGTACCTTTGTCAACGGTATCTCTCTATGATTGGTTGGAATTTTATATTTTTCCCCTTTTCTCTTTCTTGGTCTAATTTCGTTAATTTTATTTTTGTTTGCCATTTTTGGAGATTGTGGATTACACAATGTGTCAAGTCTACAGATATGACGTTCCTCGATTCTTCTGTTGACTCGGTTGATTTCACCGGCTCTTAGCCCCGGTTTTCCTTCTATTTTCACTTCATCACCTCCGTTGAATTCTGGATGCTTCCCACCGCCTCTCCAAAACCCTCCGTCTCTCTCTCTCTCTGAACGCATTGGCATCCTTTCTATCTAATCCTGGAAACTTTTCAATTTAGTTGTCTGCGTTTGTAAGTTTAAACCCTCCACACAAACATCTTTCAGTTCCACCATTTCTGCCTTCTCAGTTGCATATGTCGCTTGCTTCATTGAGATATGGCAGACGATAACCATCGATGATTCACTTCACCGCACAAGAAACTTCTATTGCTTTCCAGACGACGGATGTCCAGTTCAGTCCTAGCGGCGGGATCGATTTTAGGGTTGCATCCATCAGTGAGAGGCACAAAGCCGGAATGAAATCGAGAAGGAGATATTGAGAGGAGAAGAATAGAAACATGATGAAGGTAGCAGGAAACCGAACCGTACCCATGATGATGTTCACGTGCTCCATTATTGTAACATCCAAAAAATTTACGCCAAATTTAAACTTTTTCAATCATAAATGAAACCAAATAGTATTTGTTTACAAAAATGTTTTCAAATCATTATTCATTAGAGTGTCCTAATAGCTAGATCAAAATGATGAGGAGCGGTACGGTCACCCATTCACCTTGCCATGATCTCCTGAAGTACCTGAAACAATAATCTGAAAACTGTAAGCCCAAGAGCTTAATGAGCTACCCCCAAAATACTAATACCACGCTGATAATACCATATCAGTAACAAACAATCGATAACATGCATATTGGGCCATCGGCCTGACTGGACCGCCCTGTAGGGCCTTCAGTCTATCTGATCTTATCCCAAGCCTTCGACATGACTGGACCGCCACATAGGCCTACAGTCTCCCCGGAGCGCTCATAGGGTGTGTTGGCCTTCAGCACAAAGCAAGACAGCCTCAACCCAACCGACAAGCAAATAACCATGTGCGCATAACTATCATATAGTGGCATATACAAACATCAAACATATGTATATCTCACTAATCATCAATCATAGAAAACTCTCGTAACTAGAGTACCAATCTATCAGCTCGCTAACATACCAATCCCTACGAATCATAAGAGCATAATATACTGCCTATCCTGATTCCGATCTAACATATCATAACCACATGTAGCACATCATAACAATAACAACTTAAGGGTCGGCCTTGGTGTCGTAGTCCCTATGGATATAGTGAGGATAACTCACCTTGTAGATGTCGACTTGGTAGATGAACTCCAACTCTCGGATCACTGTCAAAAGCTCCACCACCTTTAAGTGATGCCTACTGAGGTAGATTTCTGATTCCCAAACCTTCCTTGCTCTTAATCTCTTGTACTCCAAGCTCTTCCTTTCCAAAAACTCCTCTCTAAAGCTTAAGACACACAAGGATGAGCACCACACGGCTTTGGGTTTCTCAATGGACTGCGAAGAGGCTAAAGGGGCTTGTGCTTCTTTAAATAGGGTGCAAAACCCCAGGATTTAGGGTTTCATCTGCCTGCTCCTACTCGTCGAGTCCCTTTATGGACTCGACAAGTAGGCTACTAAATACGCGATCCCATATCGCTGCTACTCAACGAGTAGGACAACAAACTCTTCGAGTAGGTCTCAAAACCAAATAACGTTCATTTAAACCCATACCTAAGAATCGGGGCGTTACAATTATAAACAACAACTAAGAAATTCTTCGATTCCTTTATTCATGGCTGCAATCGATCGCCTGTTCCCAGGGCTCTCCAACACACCATTTCCTTTGACATGTTCTGATTTATCTTGCTTTCTTTTCATTTCTAGGGCAAAACATTGTTATAGCTGGTGGCGCCTCTTCTAACCAGAATTCACTTAATTCCTTGATTCCTTGCTTGGTTGACTTTCTTACTAGTGATGATTGGGTGGCAAGGAAGGCGGCAGTTGAGGCGTTAGGAAGGTTGGCAGTAGTGGATGAGTTTCACTTGACAACTTTTACGTCATCTTCTCTTGCATCTTTAGAGAACAAGAGATTCGATAAGGTATCAGCTAGATGGAAGAGACAGTCAATATGGGGAAAACCTTTTTTTCTTTGAAGATGACAAACTTACCGCTGCTTGGGTCGTTTATGCTCTGATCCTCACATTGGTCAATGTTTTTTGTGTTATCTAATTATAGAGGATTGCCAATTTCTTTCCCAGAAATGACATTTTTATCCCTGCTTTGGTCCATGCTTCTAAATTATAGTTATGATCATCAGGGGCGGACCTAGGGGTGGTCCACGGTAGCACCGGCAACCCCTAACTTTTCCGGCCGCAGTGAAAAAAATTTCAAAAATTTTCGAAATTTTATTTTTTATATTACCGTGCAACCCCTAACTTTCTCGTGCAATCCCTACTATAAAATCTTACGTACGCCCTTGATGATCATCGTAGGAAGAACATAAAATTATCAAACGGAATCAAAGAAGCGATATTTAAAGAAACTTTACAGTAGGATATGAGAAAACTAACATCTTCCAAGAGCTTTAGAGACAAAAACTTCATTGAGGGTATGAATTGTTTTTTGATGATAATAAAACTACTTTGACCTTTTGTTTTGTACTCCAAGAAAGTGTGCTTTAGGAAAATAATATTCAAGAGCCTATATTTGTATCTTACTAAATCTTTTCGAAAGCAAATTTGAAATGACACTAGAATTTGTTTAGTTGATAATACCAATTGTTATAGGATTATTTCGGATGGTTAAGATGTTATGTTAAGTCATTGTTTTTTATTTAGTTTTCACCATGTCTTCAGGTGATTTCTTTGTGTTTTCTTCATTAAATCTTCTTTTTT